AAACCATGTTCGGTAATGCAGTTCTCTGTCTTTAAGAATAATGAAAAATAAATAACTAAATAATTTTGCTATAGGTGTCTGGTTGCAAAACTACGAAGATTAGAAAAAGAAATATTTTTATTAAAAAAAGAAGAAGATTGGCAAAATGAAGAATTGTTATCTTCAGAAATTAGAAGTTTAGAAAAACAAGTAAGAAAAAAACTAAACTATTTTTTTTTTATAAACATCTATGTATGTAAATTAATATTTTATTTACATTTTAAATCATTAGATGAATGAATTAAAAGATCAATTAAACTCTGAAAGCGAAGAATTAGATATGATGGTGTCTTGTTATAAAGAAACACAACTTAGAGCAACTCAAAAATTAGCTACATTACGAGGTGATAAACCAAGTGTCGTACCTTCAAGAGCCAACGAAATATGCTTCAAACATGCTCAATGGAGATTAACTGAAAATGATGGTCAACTGGGAATTGCGGACTTAGTACTTAGTAATTTTTTGTACGTCTAGAAATATTATATGTCAATCAATAAGTAAATTTAATATTCTTACCTCTTATACAGGTACACAAAAAATTCTAAAAGCGATGATTCAGTTGAGCATTTATTAGAATTAGGATATATTAGAATGACAAATCTTTTAGCCAATGAATTGTACAAAGAAGTTATTGTGCCTACAGAAATACAAAACAATATGCCAGTTGATGATCGAAAGGTTCAATGTTTTAATTTTAAAAATTATATAGTTTTTTTTACAAAATGTTATTGTGTTTAGAGGGCAGTAAGAATATTTTGCAGAGAAAAAGCTCCTGTTGGAGGTATTTCGGTCAAAGAACATTTTGAAATAAATGTGGTACCATTGACAATTGGTAATTACTAATGCACTTTGTTTATTAGAGTGAATATTAATCCTATAGTTATTTAATTAGGTATGACCAAAAAATTTTATAGCACTATGATGAGATTTTGTTTTTCTGAAAGAGATCCTGAAAATATAGATGCTGAAACAGATGAAAAAAGTTCATCAAAAGGGAAAAAGAACAAAGAAAGTAATTTTTATGTTCCAATAGAACATAAAGATGATGTTGAAAAAATGAAGGTGAAATTACTTTAAATATATTGATAGTTTATAATTGAGTATAATTATACTCTAACATAATTCCTATTTAACTTAGGAAAGAGCTGAAAAGAACAAATTGTTCATTTACATTAAAATACCAGAAGTGCCAGTAAAAGTTAGTTACAAAGGTAACAAGGAAAAAAATTTGGAAGACATAAGAGATTTTAGTTTAGTAATTCCCACAATTGAATACCATAATGTTACATGGACGTGGTTAGATCTTTGCCAAGCCATGAAAACTGATAGTAGACGAGTAATACTATCCCAGGTTTGTTCTTAGTACTGTTTATATTATATCCAGATAGTTTACCATACATTTAAGACAACAAATTCCTATACACAATTTTAAGGTATTAAATTATGTTTAGGCTATTAAACACAAGTTGCAAATAAAGACTAATAAAGCAATAGCAGATGGTGGTGCATCACCACAAGAAGAAGACAAAGCTCGAATGCTGTTTGGCAGTAAATTAGTGGTAATTATGTCATTATTATATATTAATACAATATTATACTGCTGTCCAACTGTATACAATAACAATCCATCATTAATTTAGTTGAAGTTCTTGGTTGCACATTGAATAATTTGTTTTTGTTTCTAGCGCAATGAACATAGAAATTCAAAACGTGGTATACTAAAATTTCCTAAATAGAAGTACCTATATATTTATTTTATATTTTGTATGAACTCTGTGATATTGAATTTTGTTACCTAAAAATGTATTTCTTTAAGGATCATTTATAATATATTTATTTTATACCAAAAATACTTAATAATATTACTCTCTAGCTATGAAGTTATTGCATGTTTTTTAAAAGTAAGCTAAAAGACTTTTACAAATACGTATATATTCAAGTATTTTCATGCAATTTTGGGCTGTATTTGCCATTATAATTTTTGTATTCATATTCATTTATCAAAATTTTACCAATAATTATGAATTATTAAAATATCTGAAAAAGATCAAAATCAAATATATGTACTGCACAGCATATCCACCAAACTAATTATCATTATTTCCGTAACCCATTTTCCATTAAACATGTTTTCATGAATTAACACTGGAACACACCTCATGACGTGGTATACTCGACATCAACTGTATAGCAGAATGGTTACCTCCTTGCCTTCATTTTTTAAATTAAGTTATAATGCAATAACTTCTAATTTTTAATTATTATTATAAAACAAAATACAGTAGTATTTACAACTCTTAGGTAGGTGGTATTAACTATTGGGTGTATAAAAGTATAAACTTTACTACACATCTTTATTGAACTTAAAATTGTTTAACCATTTATTCAAAAAAAGTAATCAAGCAAATTATTACAATGTGTTTTATTCAGTAGTCTTAATAAAATATTTTAATTTAATTTTGTTTAATTTTTTGATTTGATATAAGTGACTAAATGGTATGCATATTTATTAACATTAAAATTTAAAAATTGTTTAAATTAAATTAGTTTAAAATGTGTGTAGTCATTGAGTATAACACATATATACAATATATACTCAATGAAGTTACGCAGAATAAGTAAACAAAATTGTATTAAATTCTACTTTCTAGTAATTTTTTTATGCATTATAAAATAAAATTTTCACTTTAAATTAATTCATTATTATTATACAAAGATTATTAGATATTTTTTTACCATAAAATCCATACTGTCAAGATAATTTTTTTTTCTTACCCTCTATAAAGAAGTTTCACTTCAATAATAACAAAATAAAAACAGAAATATTAATTTTATTTAAACAAACCTAGAACTGGGATGGGCAACTCAATGCTACTAGAGGGCCAATTTTGAATGTGCAAAAATCTAGCAGGCCATAGAACATAGAAAGCAAAAAAAAACCTAATGTTAACTATGTTATCCCTATAGGCTAATTACTATCCCTATAGGCTTACTCAATGCTATAAATAATATAACATTATTTACATTTAACGGTTCAATACTAGATAATGATTTATATCTATGTTTTAGTCAGTTTTACGATAAACATTATATCGATTTTAATAATTTTATAAATATAATAAAATAAAATACAGAAAAATCTTAACATTTTATATTTTTATAAAGTAAATTGGAATGTAGCATGGGCCAGTGAAAAATGGTTTGTGGGCCAGACGCGGCTTGTGGGCTGCCAGTTTCCTATCCCTGCTATAGAATATACCAGGGGTCACCAATTAATATTTTTGAAGAGTCACATTAGACATTTTGAAATTGTTGCCAATTTGCAGACATTGGTAAAAAGTAAAAACCAATGAACAAAAATGATAAATTACAACACAATAACTTATAAATAATGGTTAATACTTTTTTTTCTTGTCTGCGGGCCACCATTTGGCCATTTTTTTTTTATTAGATGACCCGCGTCAACATAGGCCATTGGGTGGGGGTGGAACTGTTGTGTTGTGGCAGAATTTCTAGTGGGGCACCCGTAGGTTTCTGCCATACCCCGGGTGGGGGATGGCGGCACTTGTTCTCCGGACACTGTGACTTGCCCGAAGAAAAATGTCGTCTAGTGGCCGAGAATCGAACCGGCGACAGCTGCGCCGCAACCAATGCCTTAGACTGCTCGGCCACCTCGTCCCCCTTGGCCATTTTGTGACCCCTGGAATATACGTCTAACAAGAATTTCAGTTTATCAGAATAAAGTATAGTATAATATAATAAATACAAATTCAGGTTATTTAAAAATCACTTTATTTGTGTTAAAAAAACAATTTTAATTAACACAAATTATTAGTGTTATGCTAAAATAGGTAAATGGTGGTTCTGACTGAAGCATAAAATTAAAGGTGAATAATAATAGTAACTAAGGTGCTTAATTTATTGTTTATCATCTTTGTTAAAACAAAGTAACTTATGGCTATAGTATGATTTACCTACACATTTGACCAATATTTATGTAAATAACTAATTAATTATGGAATTCAGGGTATTTTTGAATTATAGAAAAAATAATATCTTTGGTAATTGATAATATTAAGTATATACACAGTTAGAGATTGAAAGAGATTAAATTTTTCCACATAACACTTTAAAGCCCTCAAATGTTGGTCTCCTAAGCCGAATACACGGATATACATTACAAAACGTAAGTTGATGAATTCCAACATACTTTTATATTATAGTTAATAAAAGCTACGGCTATAAAATATATTTAAAATCTATCAAATATATATTATAAACTGTGCATGACATATTTTGAAAATTAAGATTTTATCCTGTATTCCTGTAAAAAAATGTCAAATAGGTTAATATTTCTATTAATAATTTAGTGTGAACAAAGACATTTTATAGATTTTGAAAAAGGCCCTTTTGGCAAATGTTTTTGGCATATTATGAAAAAATAAATAGCATAGTAAGCTGTTTTATTTAAAAAAAAGTATATGTTGATTTAGCTTGTCTTAATTGGTTCAAATTTAAAACAGAATTTAATTGAGTAATATATATATGTGTTATGTTTTATTTTTCAAATATGATAAATGATTTGTGTGCATTTAAACTAAAAGTTTGTGCATTTACTTTGAAATTTTTAAAAGACATGTTTTTTTTTATGTCATTAAGATCAACTGAAATGTTCACAATTAATTTTTGAGAAAAAACGATTTAACCTTAGTTTTAAAAATAATTAACTCAAACAAGGTTATATTAAAATCATGTCACCTATGTAAATATTGAGTTACTCGCACTGCAATAATTGCACATTGTGTAATTAGAAGATAATCAATGAAACCAATTAGAATTGTTATATAATTGTTGTCACTCGAACAGGAAAAATAAATATAATATAAAACATATAATATGAATAACATTATTTTACTATTTACTTTTAATATTCTTCTAAAAATGATAATACAAAATAGTTTTAATCTTTGTAATCATAAGGAGACAGAGTGGTAAATCCTTTGTATTTCTTTTTCGTTTTTAATCCAGTAACCAAGTTGGAACTGCGTGGGAATGCAGTGACACCATCAAACATTAGATCGGTCTCTGGGTGGAACCTATGATAGTTTGATAATATATGGAGATTAGGGGGGAGTTCACGATTCTGAAGTGCATCATATGGTACAACTGTGTCTACAGGTGTCTCATAAAATTCAAATACATCACCTGTAAAAAAGAATACAAATAAAATAAATTGAGCATAAAGGTACGCACACATTGCTGCGGTAGACGGTACGGTAACGATAAAATTGAGCTCATAGTTTTATATGAGGCAAACCACATTGGTACGATATTATCGGATCGGTGAACGGTAGGCGCGCCGATAATCTTTGTGCGGTAAAGTTTAAAACTAAACGAATGTAATTAAATGTAGATGCGCACATTGCTGCGATAAATCGCCGGTACGGTAAAAAATATCGTATCGTGCTCCGATATTTTTTTAACGTTGCATGCACGATAATTACCGTCTACCGGGCCGATAAATATTAATAGCAATAATGTTTATCTATTTTGTAATAATTATGACATACATAATATGAAGCTGTTTAGCTGTTTAGTTGTACAACTATATTACCATTATGGCATTAAGTGCTATATGTTATACGTACTACCTTAAGGTACCTAATATAATTATATTAATTAAGTATTAAAAGTACAGTAGGTATATCATAATAATTAATATTAATAATAAGTTTTTTATCAAATATACTCCTATACTCCCATTCTGCAAATGTGGGCAAAAATTACCTTTAGTTAGTTAAGTTAAGTCAAGTCAACATTAAGAAAGCTATAATTTAAGATTTAATAAACATTATACTTCACTCTTAAGTTTAAAGTTAACACCTGAAAAAATATGAACTTAACTCAGTTATATAATTACTTTTTAATTTAGCTTTAAGTAAAAGCATTTTGATTAACGTATAGTACGTATATTATTAATTTATTATAATTTTTTGATATAGAGTTTCTTTACAATAATTATAATTAATTAATATTTAATATTTTTTATATCAATTATTATTATTTTAATTTTCTTATTATTAATTATTAATAATAAGAAGATTAAGACATTAGGTACCTATACATATATTAAGACTTGTATTATAGGCTCATTTACAGAGAAATTATCGTCTTGTGGGAAGGGAAGGGTTTATAACAAAAATATTCATATTAATTTTACATAGCTGTCGGAAAAAAATATTTTTGAAAATAAATTGAGAGGGTATAAACCTCAAAATTTCTATATGTGTGTCAGCTATATTGTACCGCATTACCGCAGCAGTGTGTGCTAGTTGTAACGAAAAACGTTCCGGTACGATATTTTACCGTCCGGTAACTCATATCGTTACCGGATCAGTGTGCAAGCTCCGACGGTAAAGATTACCGCACAATTAAAAATATTGATTACCGTATCGTTACCGTACCGTCTACCGCAGCAGTGTGTGCGCACCTTTATACTTTAGTTTTAAAATTTACCTAATGTATTCATAGTATGTAAAAGCGAATTTGGTACTTTATGGTCAACCAGTTCTTCACATTTTTTTAGTAAACGTATCTTTTCATTTTTATTTAGTTGGTAGGACTCTTTGGTTTGATTAACTGTATTATTTGCTATTTTTATTATAACGTTCTTGATATCTAATGGAGGATCATATTCTTTAAGTGGCCTTAAAAATCTGAACATTTAAAACACAATATTAATTATAATTTTTATAATTTCAATCTAATAATTTGAATTATTATTTTAACACAACATTATTTAAAAATATATCAACCAACCCTCTTGATGCTATAGCATTTGCATTTCCTTCAAATTTGCTTCGTGGAGGTACCCATGGTATACTTCTTTTTACCTTTTTGTGTAAATGTCTAACCTGTAAATAAACAAAATAGGGTATCAAACAATATATGTAGTCAATTTTTTTATAATCATTTTAATTCAAACTTTGACAAAATTCATCAAAATCACAAACATTTTTAAATTGATTTGTAGGTAAAAGTTTAGGTACTGGTTTGTTATAGCCCCGTCACGGCGAGTGAAAACTTTAAAGCCCCACCACTCAGGTTTGTTATAGCCCCGTGGCCCCTGCCATCCATATAACAATAAATACATCGTATAAATATAAAATAATGATAAATTAAAAAATGTATAAAAATGTTTATGGTTTGTCTTAGGATCACTATATTAAGTTTTGACCATCACATAAATTCGGCCATGTAAGAGTCTAAAAAATGTCTATGAGTTCATCTATGTTTTTTGTTGCCCAATTTAGCCAACCACCACATTCTCTCAACATTTTGTGTGTGGGCTTCTGAGTTAGAGTCCACAATATTGTATCTATGATTAACTTGATTATGTTGACATCCATGTTGTTGCAAATTAGCATAAGCTTTCCAGCTGTCAGAAAAAATTGTTGAACCATGTCTAATATAATATATCGGTTAATAATAGGTATCAATGTAACTTCTGATCTATTTGGTACACTAACTATGAAATAGTTTTTGATTATTGATTATTAGGTACCTCATAGTAACGGTACATATTTTTCGTTGAATTATTTCATATTTATACTATGTATTTATTGTTATATGGATGGCGGGGCTATAACAAACCAGTACCAAAGTTTATATATGAATATATAACTTATACTAGTTTTTTTGTTTTAATACTTATATAGCGTTTTGGAAATGTTAAAAAATAATAAATAGAGTTACGGAAATTACTGTTTTAATGTAAATGTTAAAAGATGTTATAATGTGCTATTATCAATTAACACGTCGACCCAAGTACTGAATTTCAAGTAGACGAGAAGAAGCTGTAAATGTTTGATAATGTTTTATTTATACATTTACATTGAGTATGCAAACAAGTTTAAATAGTAATAAATACTATTTTGCATATAAAACAACAATTATTAAAAGTAATCGTTCCATAATTTTTGTAAATAACAGAAAAACATAAATACATGATTGTTAAAAATACATTGTTAGTTGTGTAGTGAGTTTGTCCTTAACAATTTTGTATTTTAGTGATACAAAATTAATAATTAGTTTAATAATTTATTTTGTTACAATATTGAATATAATATAACTTTGTGTAATGAGTTTGTTCTTAATAATATTGTATTTTAGTGATACAAAATGAATATAGATTAATGAAATTTTTTGTTACAATAAGTAAGTTAAGTTATCCAATAGGCAAGTATTATTAAGTATAAGTTTGTAAGATAATTAAACTCTTCATGTAAAATAAATACAAATCCCCCCCCATCCACAAATTGTTTTTGAATGGATACACACAAAATAAGAGTTGTATTGGAAATTAAAATAATTGTTTGAATTTGTTGTCAGGTTATAATTTAATGTTATTAAAAATATTGTACATTATCGATATTTATGAAAATTGTAAAGTTAGTATACAACTCTGGAACAGTGTTGTTAAGGAACGATTCCTGGAAGTGATTCCTTTTTAGAGGAACAAATGAAGGAATAAATTCCATTATTTTTTAAAGGAATAGGAACGTAAATATTATAATTTTGTTGTTCTCAGAAAAGTTAAAAAAAAACATTTGGGCCATTTGGGGAGAGAAATTTTGCATTTATGTTTACTTATCATTTTTAATCTATAAAAAAAATAATAGACAAGACAACCAATTTTTTATTCACATATGAGATATGACTGTGTTCTGATTAGTGATTATGATAATAATTAATAAGTTATTATTAATAACTAATAACTCATGCACCATGAGGAACGTGGAAAAGAATGAGTTCCTTTTTCATAGGAGCTAGGAATTGAACGAGTTTCTTTTGACATTAAATGAACGAGGAACTGAACGAATTCCTATTTATACTAAAGGAACGAGGAATTGAACGGATTCCTATATAAAAAGAATTTTAACAACACTGCAGTCAGAAATAAAAATAGTAGTAGTAATAAATTTAATTTCGGTACTGTATATTACCTACTGTTTTTACAATGATTTCGTTTATTTTTGAATATATTACAAGTATAATAAAAGATCAATAAATAATAACGACATCAAAATAACGGTTCAGCGAAAAATACTCTCCAACAAAATGGCACTACGGAGTGTAAATAATTAGTATGTTTTTATTCTAACGTTGGATACTTGGATTCAAATAATACAAATGTATAATACAATCAACATTGCGAACCATCAATCAAAGATAATACCTAATAATAATATTTTTATATTCGTCATTATTATCATTAATATTATATAGCTTATAGAAGTATTGTCAGTACTCAATATAATATGTAATATTTAGTATTTACTACATTAGTAAATTAGTGGAAATATAAAATTGTTAAATGGTCATACGAGGAAACTTCAAACTTGTGAATTGTGATTTGAGGCTAAATTTACTGACTAAGGTAGTAATTAGTAAGGTCTATAAGTTTTAACACGATTGTTTTATCTTAAACCACTGACTAAGATATCTTAGTCCGTACTCCGTGTCCTAAACCCAAACAGTAAAATATAATATTATTTATAATTATTAAAACATAAAACATAAATCATAATAACTACTGGCACAGAGTTCGGTAAGCGGGAAATTCATGCCTGTCGTGTCAGTCGGCACTGGTAAAACGGCGGCGGCGCCGACCAAAACAATATTATTTTATCAATAAACTAGATTTGATAATGATTTTTTTACACCGACACCGCCAACAATATTAAAATGATAAAAAATATCATAACAATAATACGATCACGATTTTCATATAAGACTGTAGGACAAATCCAGTTACAACGTCAGTTATCATCACCATCATTATTATTTTTAATAATTGTTACGATTCGTTGTTGTCTTGTTGGTTCGCCGGCAAGAGCTGATCGAAACCGATTTTTTGATCGCACACGCGTATTGTTCGAAAACTACGGCCATAACCTTCAAAAGGTTACATCGTCCAACAAGACTTTGGCAGGACGAAAACAATTAAAACACTTACGAAATCGTCAAGGCGAAAACATTCGTATATGTGTTGCGAAAAATTGTATCGATATTAGACATTATCTCTGCGAAAACGCGAAATGATGTAACATTTTGTGGTTGTCGCGAAATTTTATAGTTTACCTGAACGTTGAATCGGTCGTGCAAAATCGTGGCAGCACCGTTGTTGTTGTTGGAGTTCGCTGATAACAAACGCAGTAAGGCGCTCGGCCGATTTAAAACGTAGCCGGCCATCATCGTCGCTGTCGTTGTAGCTTTCAAAAATAAAAATAAACTAAAATTAATCTATTAAAATATTGTCGATTTGTTATCATCATAAATTGAGTACATATCATGAATTCGTGATATACCTACTCTGGTGGTGCGGCGGCGGCGTATGTTTTTACCGCAGTGGCCGCAATTCTGGTTACCACTGTGTTAACCATGTGACGGGTGTTGAGCCAATCGGGTGCGCGGGTCCTTCGGGTTGCGAGTGCGTGCGAGAGTGAGTGCGTGCGTGCGTGCGCGAGTGTGTGTGTTGGTGTGTCCGCCATTTTACGCGACTAGCCGTCGTCGAACATGAACAACAACGCAGCTCCGGGCGCATCGGATAATGATTGTCGCGTTTCCGGCCTGTGATTATGTCCGTACGCGTTATTGACGCACGTCCGTCGTTCGGCCGAAACTGTTTCGCGTATACCGTCGCGTCGTCGTGGTCGTGGTGTCCGCGGTCCGCCGGCGCCTCAGCCGTGGTGTTTGTGTGACGTCCAAGACGTCGCCGTCGTCGTCGCAGCAGCCGTCGTACCAGGCAAAATGTCCAATGAAAAATGACTCACTCCAGCCATCAGACCAACGGTGCCAGCTTGGAGGATTGCCACACAAACTTCTTCGCCCTGGTTAGTACTTAGTTACCATTAGTGGCATCCGTTTTACATCGTTTTTCCTTAAAGCCTCGTAGGTAATAGGTAATTTATAATCAAAGGTATACATGATATAGGTACTTTACGCATAATATAATGTTTAACTGTCGGCTGTCGCCACAACTCACAAGTGCAAAACCAAAACATGTAATTTTTCTCGATGGCCAGCGGCCCTTATCCTCCACCACTCGTTCATACTCCATCAAACATTCCTCCATATAATGTAGCTCCCCTAATCTGTGGTATCCACCAGATGACAAACTATTAACGCCGTTGATGTGTATTTAGTTGCTTGTCACCTGTATGATGCAATTCCATGTAACAATAATTCTAGCACCAACAGATCACATAGCCAAATGTTTACATGTCTAGGTAGTTACAGTTGTATTGCTCATTGGGTTTTCCCAGAGTATTTTCCCGGCCTGTTGAAATACAAATGCATAATACAAATCTCAATGAAAGTCTTTGAACACTGCAAGTAGAACTCATTTGGGGCATAAACCCATTGACTCTACATGTTGACCTATTTAGAAAACTCAACTTTCAATAATTTTCTGTTAGTTATATCAAGCTTAAAGTTTAAGGTATTTTTTAACATTTGGCAAATAACCGTTGATAGAATAGGTCAGTTTATACGATATATTTTATTCAAATACAATCTATGTCAGTACGTTGTCACCTGCTAGGGAAGATAAGATTATAACTTATTTTCTTCAAAACTAAGTCAATCATTTTAAAATGAAATGGCGTTCCAGAAAAGATCTGACAAACACAAATACCTAAGTAGATACCTATTCAATTTTATTAATCTTAAAAATATCCTTAATTTTAAAATTATTTTTACTATTACTATACTAGTAACTTTTATTTACTTAGCTATATTAAGTTCAAAATAATATATAATATTTGTGTACCTAGTTAGGATTTCATTAGTACTATATTCTTAAATGATAGACGGGTCATACGTTTTTAGGTCATCAATGATAATAGATAATTATTTCTTAATATTAAATTTAAATTGTTTTCCTGTTCCAATTTAGCTACCTACAAATTTTTCTTTATTTGCTCATATATTTTGACTTATACATGATACCTTGGAACTTATAATGTATAATATATGTACATTGACATATTTGGTTTCTGCAATTACTTTAAAATAAAAGACAAAATTTTTTACAACGATTTTCCATTTTAAATATATCTTCATCATTTTTAAAATATGTAACAATGTAAGTAACCTATGAACATATAGGTATCAAGCTAAATTTTAATATGCAAATAAAATAATTCTAATATTATTATTAAGGTGTTACCTAATTACCTAATTATTATGTTAGAAAATATTATAGATAGGTACTTAATGTTCTTAATTCTTTTTTTTAAAAATAATTCATTGTCAATCATATTTGTTTTAGTGATTTTAGGCAGGTATATCATTTTGTAATGGTCACTCCATTTTATTGCCAATTTAGATAATACAACAAACAATTTACTTTCCACATCATTAATGTTTATCAAAAAATTAATGTATCAAACTGTATCAGACATTTTTTCCTGAAATCTTAGTATTTAGGTATACCGTAGCCCATAGGTATCTAGTAATAATATACTAATGTTCATTTAAAGTATTTAAATTTGTGTTAGTTGCTATCTTTTATAATTTATAGAAACTTTTGAATCAATCGGTATTTTTTAAATTTTAGTCAAATAATCAACTTCGGGTCGTTCTTACAATGTCCGGTAAAGTGTCGGTTAACGCTAACCTACTGATAACAGATTTTATTACCGGCAGAATTCGACCGGTTAAGTGTCTGTTAACTTTAACCGGATATTGTAAGAACGGCCCTTAGTAGTTCTGGTTTTTGATATTTTGATATAATTTTTTGATAAATTCTTATTAAATAAATGTATATTTGATCGCTTACTATCATTTCTGTTAAATTAAAAAAAAAGATGAATTTGTAATTAATATAGCTACACATATTATTTTTAATTTCAATTATTATTACATTTTTGTTCTTCAACATCTATTAAGAATTTAACAATTTTGGAAAGTGTAATGAAACCCACCTACTCAGAATAATAGTATATAATATGTGGATGTGTATTAGGTAGGTAATACAAATAGGATTTTATTTTCAAAAATAAAATATGGAATAATACCCAACAATGCAATTTACATTCAAAACAGATGTTCATTTTTCTACTTTAATTTTAGTAAATTATGTATCTGTGCCCTATTCTTCAGTTTATGTATACTAATATTAGCCATTTTTTTTTCGTGGTACGATGACTGGAGGAGGAACTGCTGTTTGCAATACTTCCCCCAATAATTGCCATTTAATTAATGTACAGGCTGTAAACACAATTGATCTTCGAAAATAGGTTCCCTGGCTAGTTACTGCAATATTAGTGATAAGAAAACATCATAAATACAAACTTGAGAGCAAGATGTAATAATTTATTATTAAGTTTATTTTTCACTATTGTATACCTGTCATTTATTTTATTTTAGTTCAGGTGTTCAATTCTTAGATTTATAATTTGTAACATTAGGTACCTATAAATAAAAATGATTCAACTGATGTTCTGAAGCGTATAGTTAGAAGTTAAAAAAAAAATTATAATATGCACCTTTTAAAAAATAGCATTGTTAAAGCATTATTGACTATTTTGTTATTTAAATAATATTGGACATTATCTAGGTTTTATTAATTGGCAAGTGTGGGTAGGGTTAAATCTTTCAATGTTTTTGTTTTGACCCAGTCAGATTTCCTTACGTTTCCGAGTACTATCATAGTGGTAATGTAATTATGTAAACAACTGATTAGATATTCGTAATCAAAATCCAAAACAATTTGTTTATCTATAAATTAAGTAAGATATATGCCACCGGGCAGAGTCACGTCTTACGATACTATCACCGTCCACCAGTCACCACTAGTCGGACTGTCTACCTGTCCTGTCAACGAACTACGTCTTATCACGAGATGAGAATTTATTACTTCGTCGCTATAAATATCTGGGAAATCTCATACGGGGAGATAGTACTTTAATCGAAAACGTATTTTCGAACAATATTGCGCTTATCGTCAACAACATAACGGGTCCGTGGCTTTCGTTGTTGTTATTATTATTGACTATTTCTTTATCAAAACGCGGCGGCGAGACGCGTGCACGTAGATAAGCGGACGCATGGCAGTAGTAAACTTTGCATTCACCCCGTAAAGACAATATCAATGATCGACTCTGGGTATTCACAAACTTAATCAGTAGTTCGAAATCTACAAACCTTGATGACGTTCAATGCGAATATATTTATAATACCTATATATTAATCTGTTTCTTAAAAATATAATTCTGTAAATATTTTTCCCCCGTAAAATACACACAATAATAAATATAATAATATATCCTCGCCACGACTGTCTAGTATAAGTATATATTATGCGCCTCTCGCGCGCGCGCACTCCCAGAGGCAATGTCCTGCGTATTTTCAAACCGCTTTCAGTGGTTCCCAAAAGCGGGCGGCTGACATTATCAGTTGTTTTTTTCATATTTTTTTTCCCATTCGAAAATTTCGTAAACATTTCCGTATCGGTTAAATATTGATTTTTCCCGCGCCCGCCGGAAGACCTCCGTTGTTGTCACCGCCTCCACCGCCGCTGTAAATTCGTCCACCTAATAGTCGCACGCGCTCGTTTTCTTTCTTTATAGATGTCCCCGAAATGAACATTTTCTGCTATAATATCAATTGTATACATTGCGGCACTTCGTCTGTGGTCCACAATAGTATTTGTGGTAAACACGGGGTGGCGGCGACGAAATTCATAATATTTTTATTGTTTGACCGTCTACGGGGCATGACACGACTCCGTTATGTAGCGTGTGTGTATATTACAAAATATCGAAAATCGTATTTATTAGACTGATTTTATTATTTATAAATTTATAATGTTTAACAGGTTTGTCAATGCCCCCGCTTGTTTTTTTTTCACAGCCGTCATCCATGCCATCTATATATTAACTATTATTACTACTGTTATATACATTTAGATTTTAGATCCCTCTTTGATAAAATACATCGAATACTCTCGAATAGTTTCCTTGGCAGTTTACGTCCTCAAAGTATACATCATATAAGTCTGTTCTATTAGTCACACGCAGATGAGATAGCCACATGGCCATCGATTGATTTTTTTTTGATTTTTCTAAATCATTGCGTATAAACTTTATTAATATAATATGTCTGTATAAGCGCTCTCGTTCTACTTTTCGACTGGGTCCTCCCTCTCGTAAATGTGGCCGTGGCGGCGGCGACGACTATAGTTGACATACTCAAGAATTCCGTGTGTCTGCCCTCGCGTCGTTCAAGGTGCACACATAATATTATAAAATATTAATACTATATCATTATGTAGTTGCGTGCCGCATAGTTGTAATAATAATGTGTACGGATTAAAAAAAACTGGATTATTGTTGTGCGCCGGTGGGGAGAGTTGTGTCGTTGTCCGTAGAGGTGTTTCACCCTTTACGAGGAAAACTAGTCGGAGGGATAATACTATAATAAGTATGATTTCGTTGGGGGTGATAAACGGTGGTGGTCTTTTCGGCGTCGTGGCGGTAGCGTTTAC